ACGATATGGAGCTTTGCAAGTTGGTGTACTTCCAGGTATCACCTCAATCTTGTGATCAACTCGCCTCTTTGGTGGTAATCCTGCAGGTAGATCATCTGGAAAAACATCTTTATACTCCATAAAAATGTCGTTCAAGGACTCCGGGATGTAAGGTTTGTCCGTGGACCCAATATCTCTTATAAGTCCAAGGAAACATACATCATCTCTAGAAATGGATGCTGTACCCATCACAAAGAGGGGTAAATTCCTATTCTGAGATCTAATTCTATCTCCATAGATCTTCCATCCGCTACTTGTAATCACTTTTCTTCTCCAATCTACCTTCGGATTATATTGTTCCATCCATGGCATTCCAAGGATGACATCATACCGAGCTAAACGAATTACTCTCCATTCAATGCTCTCCTTGTATCTACCTATGGATAATTCTACACTCCGTGGTAGTGTTTCTATCACTTCAGTTTGCCCGTTTGGCAATTCAACTTCTTCACTCACGTCCTTCATCAACATCAAACCTAACTTCATAGCAACACTCCTTGATAGAAAATTCTCAGTTGCTCCAGGATCAATTAAAACTCTCACCTTGTGTCCTTCCATGAAACCATCAGTGACAATGAGTTGAGCTTGCTTCTTACTCCTTCCATGAGCTCCCAACCATTGCTTTCTTCCAACCTCGCCTTTTCTTCGCTTTGTAGAACCAGTAAGGCCGCGAGGCAAGATTACTGGTGATCTTCGTTTCCCGAAACTGCTTCCTCCACCTCTTCATACTCTATCCCCTCCATATTGTTGAACGGTCGTCGCTGCATGGGCCGTCCTCCTTGTTGTGTCGGCCGAACTCGACAAAACTTGGCTATGTGACCCATTCGTCCACATGCATAGCATTGGCGATTGTCACGAACTCCAGCTCCTCCTCGAACCATTCCATTATTTGCATAACCTTCTTGCAAATTTGGAACTCCTGGTCGCCTAATCTCACCTCCAAATCTTGGTGGTGGTCCTCTTGTTGGTGCAAAACCTTCTCTACGTCGAAGGTTTCCCAACTTCATCGGTGTTGGACCAGATGGATCTCTAAAATTGCTCACTGGCTCACCGTGTGTGACACCAAAAGCACCTGAAATTCGTTGAGCAATTGCGATTGCTTCATTCACAGTAGATGGATTGCTTACCATCACCTCCTTTCGAATTCGATCTTTCAAGCCTCGTTTGAACACGTCCAAGGCTTCAGCTCCACTCATATCCATGATAGATACTTGAAGATCACGAAATTCTTCAATGTACTCATGAATACCTCCTTTCTGCTTCAGATCCCACAACTTCATTCTTGCAGTTTGAAGAGAATCCACCGCTTGAAAATTTTGCAGAAGTCCTTCCTGCATTCCACTCCACGAAATGGTAGCACCTCGTTCTGAAAGCATTCTCTCCCATGTTGTGTACCATGTGAGAGCCTTATCCGTAAGATAAGATCTCATGAACATTCCTGCAATATAATCAGAAACATGAAAATGGGATAAATGAATATTCATCCTCATAATCCATCCCTCTAACACTCCCATTGCTCTACTCCCTTTGTAAGCTTCCACCTTACAGGATTTTCCCATTCGAAGCAAAAGATTTGCTTGATCTTCAATCTCTTGAAGACGTCTCCTATTTGCCTCTGCTGCATCAATAGGAGTTGGTTCTGGCTGAACTTGGGAAGCTTGAACTTGAGGTTCAACTTCCATCTCTCCAACTCTCTCTCTATCTACTTTCTCACTCTCTAATGCAAAGATTTTATCTTCCATGGCTTGCTGCTTGGTATGCCCATCTACTATCGCTTTTCTCAACTCCTTCATCTCCGCCATGATTGCATTGAGAACCTCACCCATATCAATTGATGTTCCCATGCTTTTTCACACTCCCTCTAATACAAAGTGAGTATAATCATTATGTGACCTCTCAACAAAGGAGTCACAAAAGGTGCAGGTGACTCTATCACAGCTCTATAGTACTCCTCTCCATAATTCCTCACAAGAAAATCTCTCCATATCCTCTTCTGTCTATATACTGTTCTAATCTCTACATAAGTGCTGAATCGAACCAGGACAGGTGGTTCGCGGTTCAAATCCATGAAACAATTAGTATAGAATGTATATAGTACAATCCCAAGTCTCTCCATAAGTAACTATTGGAAGAATCAGTGGCACTCTTGACTCCATCACTCTAGTCATAAAATCTGCACCCCAACAAGCCACAAGGTACATCCGAAAATGATGTTTCTCCATGCAACGAAGGTGAATATCGAATAGGTTAGGAATTGGCCAGTGCGGTACTGGATTCCTGTCAATCCCGTCCATATCTGCAAAAACACAATGTCCCCCTTCCACCTCTCTCTACATGCAGATGAATGACCTCTGCCAACCTCTATACACTCTCAAGACTACACTCCATCATCACTCACTTGCTATTCCATGAGGGGTAATCCACACTCAAGGAAAGAGCAAGGTCGCTCTGATACCATTGTAACACTAGGGTTTAGAGAGAATTTCACTCGAAGATAGAAACGTAAACTCTGAAGATGAGAGATACCAACAATGGTTCTCCTCTCCCTTATATAGCTCTCACCAACAAGTACAAGGTGATAAGATCTAATCCCCACCATCCATACCACTCCTAGTGGATGGATGACGTGGCGGATAACCCTAACAAGCACACGGATCGCTGACGTGGCGCACCCAACTAACACACTAACTAACACACTCAATCCTTACCTACAAGCACACGGATTGCTGACGTGGCACTGTCAACTAACACATCCACTCTGTACCTACCAAGTGCGCGGATCGCTGACGTGGCAGCTATGACTAGTGCACACTAAAGTATCTACATCAATATTCAGAGTAACCTCTACTTTAGTTCTAACTAACTAAAGATGGTTACAAAAACCTCTAGCCACCAACCTGGCTTTGAAGATTTTTGCCTCATCTCTTGTTGGATTATCTTTCAGCTTGTACACCCATTTGGAGTCAATGAGTGTGTTGAACTTTAAAAAGTTCAACTAACTCCGAAGTCTTGTTGTCAATTGGTGATTACATCTCTCGCTCCATAATAACATTCCAGTTAAGATTCTTGATCGAAGCTTGAGCTTCTTTGTATGAAGAATGTTCACCTTCTAAAATTAATGCCATATCATCATCATACTCAAAATCAAGATCACGATCTTTGAGAATGGATGAATTTGCCCATACATCAAATCTCTCAAGAGCTCTACTAGGACATTGTGATTTCCTAGTAGACGTTTCCGTTTGAACTCTATCGTCTGGTATTGTTGCAATAGGCTCACAAAAGATAACCGTCTGTAGTTCCTCGAGAACTCGCTTCATATGCATCAGTGTTCATTCTTGTCACAGATAATTAGTATAGAATGATCAAACTTTCCCAGAACAACATACATGAATAAAAGTTTTCCCCTGGTGAGTACGGAGAGACATAAAACTCTTTCATTAAATCATGCTTATTGAAAAAAACATCTATACTAACAATCACCTTACATGCAAATTGATCCCATAACCAATAAACTTTCACTTCACTAGTTATACAAGAAAAGAAATGTCGTTTTCTTGGATGTAATATCTAATTGAATCCTATGCTACTAAGATGTGAGTGTATAAACAATTCAACCAAAAATTCTCAAACAACTATAATTTGTTATTCGTTTATGACTCAATTCAAACGTTGTTGAGAGATTGAATTCACTAGAAGTAAAAAGATTTACCAAATAAATTGCGACGTTGACAGTTTCAACCCAAAATTCTTTAGTTAAACCTGATTGATTCAGCATAATCCGCACTTCTTCAAGACAGTTCAATTGAGTCTTTCAAAAATAACGTTTTGTTGTGAAGTATACACTATTGCGATTAATCGCTTTCTCTATACAATAACTCTGAAATTTCTCGCTAGTATACTTGCCACCATTATCTCATTGTAGATATTTCACCTTGTTTACACTCTGAGTCTCTTGTATATGTTAACTTTTGAAAATGAAAACACTTCAGACTTGTGGCTGGTTAAGAAAACATACCCACAAATAAATGTACTAATCATCTAAAAAAGAAACATATAACAACTTTCCAAATAGTGAGTAAACATGAGAATGTCCTCAAACGTCGCTGTGTACATGCTCTAGTATTTCAGTGATACAATATTCATAAATAGCATTAGCTTAACTAGTTAATATATTTTTCTCATTAAAAAAAGATATATACCGAAGACTGGAATGCTATACATAAGATATCTTTACGCGATATATAGTAAAATGATATTCTTTATAAATGCACTATATGAACAAAATAAAATTTTTGTACAACATCATAATGTAATCGTTTCCAAAATAATCTTTCCACTACAAGTTTTGTGTTATTAGACTTATTTGTTTTCACAACCCAAGATAGTAATCACAATTGTTTTAAATGAAATTTATTAGTACTCCGATTATCTTAAGTCTCTTACTAGATATAAATATTTGTTGCATCGTGTTGGACATTAATTTTTATCTTCGGATATACATTTGGAAGTCTTTTAAAAATTCATAGTTTTCTACCAATTAATTCTAATATTGATTAATTTTTTAATATTCATCATCAATTTTGAGAAAATCAGATTACGTATTAAATAAATATTTAATACTGTGTTTTTTTCAAATATTGAGGTAAAGTAAAAAAGATGTGAAGTTTTTAAAGACAAGCCTATCATATTTACTATGTAAAAATTAGATATATATGTAATTTTCTCCCGAAATGTGCCTTCATTACTTCGTCTTACCACTTTACCTTAAATCCTGTACATAACGGGGTCTTACAAGCTATAATTATTTTTGCCACGATCATCACCTAGCTAACAAGGTTAGCGGCAACGCACGCCTGTACTGCAAATTGAAAGACAGCCGCTAAGCCATCAACTAAAACAATAATGTTGCAGCTCTTCGGAAACTCGAGTACCTTCTCGATGTTTGAAGCTGCAGCGTTCGTTGACTCAACAGCACACAAACAAGATACAGTTCATTAGTCAATCGACAGCTCTCGAAGTATGAAGGGAAACTGCTTATGTCACACCAGTCAAAGAAAGCCGAAGACACTTGCTCGGATTTACTTGAGACGACAACATCTTCAACCCCAGGTTGATCTTCAACGTGGGGGGTTGAAGATGTTGTCGTCACAGGTGAGTGGTTGATTACATGTAATACAAAACTAGAGGGCAGTACTGTACAAGTCAAGGATTTGCGATCGTCGCATGCGAAAGACCGCAGCCCTATTAGCTCGAGGGTGATACTTATGAAGATACAAAAGTTTGCTTCGGAAGTGAAACAAGATGATAAATTCGCCAGTCCTGTCGACCGGAGAAGTCATCAATTCAAAATCTCTTTTCTTCTGGGCTGTATTCATAATTCGAGGACGGCTTTCAGAAACAGATGTACAAGTCCGACACTCAAGAACCTGTTTCGTATCATTACAACTGAAAGAACACACCTAAACGTCTCTACGTCACGGCAAATCACTGGTCGAAGCGGTCCAGTGACAGAAGAGCTGAAAAGGAAGCAGTCGAGGGTCCATTAGTACGCCACAATTCAGTCAGAGTCCATCGTGAGGAGTCGTCGAGGGCCACGAATTTAAGATGTCGAATTTGGTTCGGCCGAGAGGTAGATCGACGGCAGTGGCGACTCCGAGAGACTGGTGGCATAGGGGTCTACCGAATTAGAATTGGAAGAATTGGAAGAATTGGAAGAATCAGAGGTTCGGGACGGTGGCTCCGACTGGGACGAAGTGTGGTCGTCAGTCGGGGCTCTGGGAATGTCGTAGCCCCACCAGCTCGAAGGAAGCGGAGGCAGCGAGGAGATGGGAATATCGCCCTTCAAGAAGCCTTGGACCTGGCGCATGGTCGGCCTCTTGGAGGAGTCCGGGTGGCAGCAGCAGAGGCCCAACGTCAACATGGTGGTCATTTCCTCGACGTCGAACCCTCCGGCGCGTTGCAGCGCGGGATCGGCCGCGCGCAAAAGGTCGCCCTCGTTGTGCAGGCTCCACACCCAGTACACGAGCCCTTGCTCGCCCGGCAGCTCCCGGTCAGCCGGCTTCTTGCCGCAGGCGACCTCCAGCGTCAAAGCCCCGAAGCTATACACGTCGATCTTCACCGTGGCCACGCCCGTGATCGTGCACTCGGGCGCCATGTAGCCCACCGTGCCGGCCGGATTCGTGCTGTAGTGCGTATCGCTTTTGTCGTAAGATCTGGCCAGCCCGAAATCCCCCAACCGCGCATTGAACTCCTTGTCGAGCAGCACATTGCTGGACTTCACGTCCCGATGCATGACGGTGAGCCCGGGCACCCCTTCGTGCAGAAATGCCAGCGCCGCGGCCACGTCGCTGACCATTCTCTTCCTCCGCTCCCAGCACAGCGCCTCGGCGTTCGAGCCCTTCGCGGGGAACAGCAGTTCCTGCAGCGTCCCGTGCGGCATGTAATCGTAGACGATGTAAAATTTGCCCTCGTCGCAGCACCATCCCAGCAGCGGCACGAGGTTCTGATGCAGCAGCCGCCCGATGGCCTTCACTTCCGACTCGAATTCCTTGCGTCCAATTTCGTTCGACGTTTTCATGCGCTTGACGGCGATCAGTGACTCCTCACAGCTCCCTTTCGCGTCCCCTTTGCGGAGCTTCCCCTTGAAGACGATGCCGAACTTTCCGCGGCCGATGATCGAGTCCGGCTTGAATCCGTCCGTTGCCGAGACCAGATCTGCGTATGAGAAGGCCCGAGGTCCGCACAGATGGTCCAGATAGACGGCCGACAAGTACGTCGGCAGCCCTCGGTCCACCTGGACCTGCACCGTGCTGCGTTGCCGAGTGCGGCAGAAGATCCACACGGCGCAAACCGCGACCGCGACCACGACTGCGGAGGCGAGGCCGACCGCCAACGAATAATACCACGACCAGACGTAACCACAGGCCGACGGAGCGCCCCAGAGATCGACCGGCGCCCCCGTGGCATCGAAGGCCCAGTCGAAGATGGTGGGCTGCGAGAGGCTCGAGTTCGCAGGGCCGGTGGATGCCGAGAATCCGACGTACCGCGGCTGCGAAAGCAGAACTGTGAGGTTCACCACCTGGCTCAAACTTGCTTGACATGGCTTCCGGCGATCCTTGCTCACTCTGACCTGGACCTCCGATGTGTTTCGATCGTAGTCGACCCAGGCGTACGTGGTCTCCGTGCTGTCAGACGTTTGAATGTCCGGCGTCACCTTCGTCGTCAGCGAGGTCATGCTGTCGAGATTAATTCCAACGTGAGCGCGCGGCGGGTCGTCGAAATTCACCTCCTGCTTCAAGTCGAACTCGACCCCAAAGTTAAGGCCCGTCTTCACGCCGTTGGTGGACTCGTTCAGCCAGCCCATGAACCCGTAGCCCTCTGCCGCCGTCGGAACGTACGTGGCGTCCGTGCCGATGATGAATACGAACCCTTCACCGTTCAGTTGCTGGCTCGTCAGGAAGTTGAAGCTGAACGCCGTGCTGAACGACTGCGCCGGCGAGAACTGAACGGCCCGGTTGTACATGCAGCGGCCGGTGACGATGGACGACAGGCTCGACGACGGCGGTGTGAGGCACATAGATATGACGGAGCTGTTCGGGGGTACTAACGACGCGTTCCCCGTACAAATAATATCGGTCGAGCTGAAATTCGTCGTGGCGGCTGAGAATGTAAAACTTGTATTGCTATTACTGCTCGCGGAAACCACGACCACCATATAAAAGGCCACCAGTGCAATTATGGATTTCGTGCCCATATCGAGGCCACGAGGTCTCACCTCGTTCCATAAGTCGATCAGTTTGCGTGGCCCTCGTCCGACCATCGGCAATCAATCAGCCCAGGTGTTTCCTACACCTCGTGATTTCTCAGCTGCAGGGCTTTGCGTCTTATATTCCTCCTGAAATTTTCTCGATTGTCGCTTCTAATATCCCGACCGATCTAAACTAGCTAGCTGCCTATCGATCCACCATGATGCTCGATCCGGTGCTCGCTCGATCAGCAAATTTCTCAATGTCGTCTGTCACAACTCTCGGCATGCTGCATCTCCCTCACTTTCAGCCCAGATACTCCCTAAACAACGAGACGTCGACGGATCCAAATCTCACCTGCATCATAACCTTAAGTGTAAATCTGTGTCCACCGACACAGGCTTCATATTGAATGACTATCCCGGCGAATAGAATAGGTCGGGGAGCCTATATCAGGCGCACCACACCTTCTGCTATTCAAGGAATCCGTTCCCGCGAAGGTGTTGATCGTTGGTACTTGGTTCAGATCATCCACTCGATCTCAGGACGAGGCTCGACATTCTCAGCTGGATTCCATCTTTACCGACCTGTTTTGCCCATCGATGTCAACCTCGTAGCTCTCAGAAAATTAGACCTTCACCAAAGTCGTCTGGAACGAAAGGGGATGTGAAGATTACACATGACTCGACAGAGAAAGCCTGATAGAAAGAGAGAAAGGAGGCAGAGAACAATTGTAGTCGGAGACATCTTCGGTACCAAACAGGAGGAAATATGACACAAGGTTCTGTTTGTCCGATATCATGTAAATGGCTGGCCCTTGAGATCTTTCGGAGGGCTTTCTCTTTTAACCTTGTGCTGACTCCTCTGGGAGTCGGGAGTGCTCAAAAGGTGGCTTCCGGGAGCAGCCCACGGACATCAGATGTCCGAATGCGATGATGGATTTATGCACTCGGAGATCAAGGAAAGAGAACATTGGTGACCAGTGGCCAGTACCAGCTGTATGTTCTGATCGGGCTCAGGTGCCAGAAAAAAGTTTAGAGCTCTCAAGGCCGGCCCCACAAGACGAAGAGCTTCACTTTGATGGAGAAGCCTCAATGCTACGTCAAGCTCAACAATATTCGTTGATTACACGCACGTTCACAGCAGCTGTATTCCAGGAGACCAGGTCCGAAGTGCCTATTGGGCATACGTCTCATCATGTCATATGTTTGATGCATAGCAGGACTCATTGTATCGAAGGGATGATCCTCCCATTATTCTTGTTGACCGAGTTTTCCTTACGGCCTCTGTTATCGTACGAGCCGAACCGAGCTTGCCTTTGAGATGCCTTCGGAGAACTTAAGGCATGAACATTGCTTGTCGGTAGAGCAAGCACGTACAAGCCCGTCCCAGCTTGTGTTCGAGAAACGAAATCTTTATATGAACAATGATCTTATGGTGGAAGTGCACAATATTACTTCTAAATGGAGGCCGCTTTTCTCGAGGCTGCTATTTTCCGTACAGAAACTATATCACGCACGAGTTCTCTCACTCCCTCGCTTGAACCTCCGACCTGGCATGCATCACAACCCGAACACCAGAACAATGATCCAACCGAGCTAGAGTTCATCAAAGGAGTTTCAGAGTTACTGCAGGTATCATTGCCTGGCTGTATCTGAAGGTATACGGTACCATATGAAACATTACCATCCCTAGACTGACAAAATGCATCTGAAAACTGTCCTAACAGTGAGATAATTGTTTACCGCTTAGCGATTATTCAAGGAAGAACGAGAGTTGAGAGTTGAATGTTGAATTTCTCGGTACGAAATGCCGACAAGTTCATGATAGAGTGATAGATACCCGGTGCAAGTAGTCGGTGACAGTTTTAAACTTCAATTTTTTGGCTCAGCGGGTACTAAAATTTGCTCTAATTGCGAAAGGAAATCCTGGACTACTCTTTTGAACAAAGATGACCATAAAACAAGTAACTGTCACGAGTCAAACTAAGTTCATCAAAGATTTGAAAATCTGGCCGCCAAGCTTACGGGAGCAAAATCAGTTTCATCTCTGGGGTGGTTGCTTCCTCGGGCTCAGATTCGATCAAACGAAGTAAAATGTAGTAAAGCATCATTAACCTATCCATGGGAAAGTTTCTTCCGATCTTTCTGCAGGGGACGGGACGCAGAGAAAGTTAAAACTTCTCCGACTGTTCAGGAAGTTCCAAGCATCACAAGAGTAAGCATCTCTGTGACTGCGTGCAGGAGCCACGTACTTCTCAGTTCCAGCTGCATATCGCTCTCATGTGTTCACCTTCGACGTCCTGTGAGTAAGACGTACATGGGTCGGCAGACCTCGAGGACAAAGTTCACCAGACTCAACCGGTGACTTCCATGCCATGAGGGCCGCTACGTAAGAGACTTTTGAGCAAATGCTGGCGGCTGTGAGATGATTGGTCCCATTTTGTTGAGTATATATTCGAATGGTCTCTTGGAGAAACTCCCTGAAAAATGTCGGGAATAGGAATGCAACGGTTCTTCAATGTAGGGGTGGAAGCTAGTAGCTATAGCTCACATAGGTAGATGGAGGGAGCATGTTATGATCAAGGAAGCGCAGCAGGAGCGAAGAGAGATATTCACACTATCATCACACATTCACCTCACCATACCAGCCCTCAGACGTATCTAGTGGTCTCAACATATTCATCGTCAAATATGTCCACAAACGGATCCATTCACATCATCTATGTCTCTTCCCATACTATTTTCTATATTACTTGCTATTTACTAGTGATATATTTGCAGGGTACCTATGTACATGGTGAAGTTTACCTTGACCGACACTTCTGTCACAATTTCCAAAGGTCCACACCTAGTCGCTATTGATGCACTCGACTCAGTACATACCCTGATACATGATCAACCGGGGGCATGAATGACTCCGAGTTGAAAATTCACGACGCCATCCATGGCTCTACACTGGATATACTCTATGGAATGTGCACCTTCGAACATTCAACGCCTTTACCGAAACGTATAGCTGAATGACTCTGGCAGGTCCATTAGAGTCCAATTATCCTCGTCGTTGTTGTCACCTTATTCTAATTCTCCTTCTTCTGCTCCTCCGTAGTTGTTTTGTGCTACTTAGTCTTGACAATTAATTCTTATCAAGAACCTTTGTTTCAAGTATAAGCAAAAAAACAAATGTTAGTCAACTCTAAGTATAGTGGGATTAAAACTTGTTTAAGAGTATTTTTATATATGAAAGTACAAGAATTGTGAACAAGATCTTTGGATACAATCTTCAATTATTCGAAATCATTAACCATGTTAAAGCATAAGAGAAATTTAAAAAAAAATTTGAATAGATGTGGTGACTCAATAACGCATAATGAACTAGTTAAGATGCACACATGAGTATTCATTGGGTACGTTCTAGATCTATATTGAGATCATATTAAACAATTATGAATATATTGATATGATTAAAAAAAATCATAAACAACTACTTCATGATTGCAAGTCATGAAACAAGGAGTATAATTGAAAATCTATAGACATGATCATGGTACAACCTGTAACGAGACGACTTGGATGGTAGGTTTGAAAACCTACGTAGCCCCAATGCCCATGCACATCTTCGGTTCCACCTTCACTAGAGAGCTGAGCAACGGAACTGTGAAGGTGGATTGAAGTATCCGGTACTTTCTGTATACCCAATGCCCATGCACATCTTCGGTTCCACCTTCACTAGAGAGCTGAGCAACGGAACTGTGAAGGTGGATTGAAGTATCCGGTACTTTCTGTATACGTAAACAATAGGATTTATGTAGCCATTGGCAAATTTCTTTTATCTTGCATATGCTATTGATTATCATTTCTGATTGACTGCTAATCGACCTCGAAAACTAAAAAATAGAATTGAAGCTTTCTACTGCCTAATCCCAATCTAGATGGGACGCGAATCTTTCGCTGTTCTGAACAGATCTTACTCACGGCAAGGAGTTGTTCTTAGGTGGAGTCGCTACCACTAAAACCAGCGAGTACAAAAGACTCATTCTTTATTACTCACTCGAGAATTCCTTCGATGAAAGATAAACAAGATTGTGAAACTTTCTGAGGACATATTTCCTGAAGCTAATATCTTTGTATATATCTGTTTGGAGTATAACAACGAGGTCATTAAAGCTTCGTGCAGTAGGCTGGGCCACAGACAGAAAGCAGCAGTGCTGCGATGGGTAATCCGGTCAATTCTGTTACCAGCATGTAGAAGAAAGGAGATGATTAAACGATTGGTGGGACACACCGATGTCGGCATTCGTCGACAGAGTTTTGTCTATTGTGTTGTTTGCCATCTTGCCTAGTTTAACAATATCCTGCACACCAGATGTGTAAAATGGGTTATGGTTATGAGGAGACGGAATAAAAGCCCGAGAACAACCTACTGTTGTTTCCTACCTCCAGAACTTGGCCGCTTGTCTTCATATAAATCCGTACGTTCGCTGGCTGCCTTTGACCTGAAGAAAAAAATCACCAAGTCGTCAAATTGGGTGCCGATCTATGCACCGGCCACACCCGCTGCACTTTGGGTAGCACTGAGAATAAAATTTTGTTATTTCTCTAGACTGCAGCCTTAGGAATTTGGGGCGCGAGGATCTTTCCTCAGCATCAGTTTGTTCCCATAAAGCAGAATGACATCTTCATCGTGATTGAGACTTGATTCTTGTAATAACCAGGCACATGAAGTCGACAATACTGTGGTGACATTCCGGCTATTCGGTGGCTGCACTTTCTGATCTTCACGATAAGCGCCGTCACAGGACCAGGCCAGGAAATCAACTTCGTGATTCCCTGAGTCTCGGAAACTAGTACCCTCCTCGATGGCAATTTCGTGTTCCGAGAACAAAACCGCAATCTTTTCCACGCGAAGTGCGATCACCATTCTCTATGAAATCATTTCTCGAGGTCTCCCTACAGCTAAAACATTCAAAGAGTAATCAGAGTGCTGACTTTAACGATAGTACAACCTTTCTTCGTTGGTCTCAGGCAGATCCAGTGGCCCGAGCCCCGTCGACTCTGGATCGTCGGAGGCTTTGGCTTTATGCAGTGTGTACGCGAGGATCACCGAGAGTTCAGAGGCAAACGATGGTTGAAAATGTTCGGCCCTTCTTCGACAGAAGCTGCTGCAGATACAGCGCGTCCACGCTGGCAAGGCTAACGACGTGAGTTGGTACTAGAAGACATCCCGGATCTTCAGGGGACTGCGTACGTGTACGGCGATCTCGATCGCATGCAGCTAACGTGGACGCCGATTCGAGCGATTCGAGCGAGCGGCGGCGCAATGGCACAATACGCACTTACGTACGAGGTGAAGGTCCCGGAGTATAGCATTCAAGCCCGGGTCGGCATCGAGCGCCTCGACTGCCACAGCCGCTCTCATCGAACATCGAACATCCCCGATGGAAAATCCAGCACTTGAAGTCGGCCATGTGGTGCGCGCACTCGTGAAGAAACCGACGTTTAAGCAGCAAGCTGATGCCATAGAGAAGTATTTTATGCCGGATGCCACCTTCTACCACGTATACGTCAATGTCTACAAGGGCCACGGCGCGTTGATTGCCCTGTATCAGTACGCCATGTTCGTTGCCAACTATCAGGACGTCATCATCAGAAGTGTGATCTACGATGCGGAGGACAATTGCGTTGGAGTCCGCATGACTGTCATATGCAAACCGTGGCTTCTGCTCTGGCGCTCACTCAAACTAGAATTGTTCACCCACTTGGAGCTCAGCGATTCCCAAGATCCGGTACTGTGAACTATTTCTAAACAGTTTCTCTGGATAATCATTCATGAAAGATAGTACTGAGTGGCTGTTATATATGCTGTCCATCTTATTCTCACAAGTTGGGTTTTGTTCTCTCGTTGGCTCCAGTTCTGAAACTTCTCTGATTGACTTGAGAAGGTGAGATGAGCCTGTAGAGCGATTGCATTTAGAGCAAGCTGAGCCTGCTCCGTGGTTCATGCATATACATGGTAGGTTGGGGACGGCAACAACCGATGAAACCATTTTTAGATGAGGGTTGATGATGATGATGATGATGAGCTCATAAAGTTTCTCTGTATGGTTTTTTAGAGGTCCGGCAAGACGATCAAGAGGATCAAATCACAAAAGGATTACTTCATCCGCGATCCTCTTATTCAGCTCATTCCGATAGTGGGGCCAATTTATGATTCAGACTCCGTCAAGTTTGTGCTCGGCACACTCTTGACGGTGGCGTTTCGTGTAGCTCAAAATGCCTACCTCATGATGGTGCCCAAGACAGTGCAGAGCTGTGCTTTCAGCTTTTGGAAGAAGTTTCTTCTATCACCGCCCATGGAGCAGTGTCACTCGTTTCCGACCAAGATGCCCCGATAATTCCTGTCTCTGTCGAGCTTTTCACTTGTAAAGACTCTGATTGCTGAAAGTTGAGTTTCTTCTGGACGTTTGTGTGTAGAGTTATCCTGTGCATCGGCTATTTATATGCCCAGAGGATAACTGTACGCGGTTATCCTTAAGGTGCTACTAGGCATGCTCCTGAATTGTGAACGTCCTATGTACAAGGTAATACAAGTTTTTGAAGTGAATATTATGGAAATGCAGGGATATTCACTAACTGCTCTCTATAACTGATGTACTTTCTTTTCGGTCGTATTTAACATGTTTTTCCTCTGCAACATCTTGCAATGTCCAGCGTAACTCAAGTACAATTCCATCACATAACATTTGCATCATACGAAGCATGCATTGAGGGTAAAACAGTCAGAAGCTAGATTGATGTGTATAATGGCTTGTTCACGAGAAGCCTGCCTGCTGGGATGAGGACCAGGTTTTCGTATGCAAGAAAACAGCTACGTATCGTTCTGCGCACGATTTAGCTCAGACTTACGTGCAAGGAATGCAAAAAATATTGTGGTTAGATCAGGAATGGTTCCAGACAAAGAACTGAAATGATGAATATGATTTTGTGACACATGAATATGTAGCTTAGAAAGAGTTACTTCCGAATATTTTTTAGTGCTAGTAACATTGAAGGAAACCTCAGAAATGTGACGAATGATGGTCAAAACTATCTAATACATTGTTTCAACACTGGAAAAGACTTGGGAGTATGTTTGGTGAACTATTTTTATTGACAACGGCCTGCCCAGAGACAGCGTCTGTGTTTGTAGTGTCTATACAGAATTGATCATTCAGGGGTAGGGTCTATTTGCTAGAGGATCACATAGTGTAGTTGATACCTGTCTATTCATTCAGCTTCTTCGTTTGCAGACTGGAAGATACTGGAGACAATTATCTGATCTATGTAATAAACCTGCTTAGCTAGTTCAGGGCCGTCAGCTAGATTGTTCGTCTAAGACTGGTAAAGGTTTGGAAGCTCTCGACATGATTACTGCTGACCAAGCTCTCCATCTGCTTAGTGATCCTGTAGCCACATAAGTGTCGTGACGATGATTTCCCTATCCCACAAATATGGTGCAAACGAGATTTTGCAGATATCCTAAAGATTCAGCTCAGCTCATTCAAAGCCCTGAAAACTACGGTTTACCTAGCTAATGTGTAGAAACTTGGGGCACGTCTGGTAAATTGGCAGATATATTTTGTTTCGGAGAGGCTGAGATTCCACCTCGGAGACGCAGTACCAGATGCAGAGTCGATTCCTTTTGGATGTTGGATGTTGTAGCCATGTTCCTTCCTCAAAGGGGGAATATTTACATTCCTCCTCTAAGACGGAGGACAAGATGCAGGGTGGACTCTTTCTGAATGTTATAATCTGCAAGAGTTCGCCCATCTTCGAGTTGCTTACCGGCGAAGATCAACCTCTGCTGATCGGGAGGAATACCTTCCTTGTCCTGAATCTTCGCTTTGACGTTGTCGATGGTGTCCGAGCTCTCGACCTCCAGAGTGATGGTCTTGCCGGTCAGTGTTTTCACGAAGATTTGCATACCTCCTCTGAGACGGAGGACAAGATGCAGGGTGGACTCTTTCTGAATGTTATAATCTGCCAGAGTTCGCCCATCTTCGAGCTGCTTACCGGCGAAGATCAACCTCTGCTGGTCGGGAGGAATACCTTCCTTGTCCTGAATCTTCGCTTTGACGTTGTCGATGGTGTCCGAGCTCTCGACCTCCAGAGTGATGGTCTTGCCGGTCAATGTTTTCACGAAGATTTGCATACCTCCTCTGAGACGGAGCACAAGATGCAGGGTAGACTCTTTCTGTATATTATAGTCTGCCAGAGTTCGCCCATCTTCGAGCTGCTTACCGGCGAAGATCAACCTCTGCTGATCAGGAGGGATTCCTTCTTTGTCCTGGATTTTCGCCTTGACGTTGTCGATCGTGTCGGAGCTTTCCACCTCTAAAGTAATGGTCTTGCCAGTCAAGGTCTTGACAAAAATCTGCATACCTCCTCTGAGCCTCAAAACCAAATGAAGCGTCGATTCCTTTTGGATGTTGTAATCCGCCAGAGTGCGACCATCCTCGAGCTGCTTGCCGGCAAAGATCAGCCTCTGCTGGTCAGGAGGAATCCCCTCCTTGTCCTGAATTTTGACCTTCACATTGTCGATCGTGTCAGAGCTCTCGACCTCCAACGTGATGGTCTTTCCAGTCAAGGTCTTGACGAAAATCTGCATCCCGCCTCTCAGTCTCAACACCAAATGGAGAGTCGACTCCTTCTGGATGTTGTAATCCGCCAGAGTGCGACCATCCTCGAGCTGCTTGCCGGCAAAGATCAACCTCTGCTGGTCAGGAGGGATCCCCTCCTTGTCTTGAATCTTAACTTTCACATTATCGATCGTATCGGAGCTCTCCACCTCCAACGTGATGGTCTTCCCCGTCAGCGTCTTCACGAATATCTGCATCCTCTTGTCGACCCGTCTACACAATCACCAACAACAATCTTCGATCTCGAATCTCTCGAAATCTCTCGTTACAACACTAGCCGAGATCACTCGTTTGTGTGAGCACCGGTGCTCTCAGAACTGAATGCTGTATAAGGTCGAGCACGGGCAGTTATATACAACTCGCAAGCTTACAGGACACGCCAGCGCGACGCGATGCCCAAATTCAAAGACTAGACCGTGAGCAGCTGCACGAATTTGCAACGTCCTTCCGCTGAGTGGGCGCTCGCTCGACTGTGTTGCCGTGCGTCGTCAGCCGAAGCGGAAGGAGTGAAAAAATGACGGCGCCTGACAGCTGGCAGACCTTCGCTTGTGCCCTTCAGAAAAGATCCAGAGCGGCCAGGTCAGCAGTGCCAGTTCGTCACTTGGACTCTCGTCGTGAGTCATTCTGACACAGAGTTTGTCCAATGATCGACGGACACGTGTCTTTTGATCCCGGAGTGATACATTCTGGAGTAAGACGAGAAGGCACGAGATAGAGGCGAACGGTGGCGTCAAAACGTTAGGGACTGTGGCAAGTTTTGCAACTGACGAATCTCGTCGGTTACAATACTTGGATTATGCCTCTACAGTTTCCGTTTCTAGATTACGATCAAGTGGTTTGATCAAGTGATCAAGTGGTCAAGTGGTTTAATCAACTGATCAAGTGGTTTTAATCGTGGCAAAGGGTAGAGGAATTTTCTTTCTGAAGTTTGAATACTCGCCAACTGACTGCAATCTCTTCTCTTCACCTCAGCTACATCAGTCCTCGGGTGAGATTCGCGTGGAGAGTGGCCTTTTTTAGTGTTTCGTGCGCGTGCTGAAGGCTGACCCCAAAAACAAGAAAGAAAAGAAAGATTGCTGACCCATTCGTTAAGTCATGAAGTCAGTCATGAAGAAGGCTTGGGATGTTCCAAAAAACTCTCCCTTATCTTTTCCGGTGGGACTGAAATGAAGATTAGGGCCTACGGCAGGCGATAAGACGAAGTCGATAAAAAGAAACATGCGCCCTTCGGGCGTTGAAATATTTGGCACGTTGACGTTTGTCACAGGTGTGCATAAAATTAATAATTTATTCATCTATATGATGTTTTTCAAAACCTGAGACGTAGTAATACTAGTCAGTTGAATATCATCGTATATCATAACAACTCAAGAAGGCAATGACAACGCATCAATAACAATGTCACTGATGTTACTTATGTGTCATTTTATTTCTATTAAACAAGAAATTTTATTCGTCTAGAGCCACACCTATCGATGTCACCGAGGTGACACCGACCGTATTTCTCCGGGGTGACGGTCGGGGTCTTCATACGTACATCGTTCGTGTGAATCAAGCAAACTCAACTGCTGGGAGTTTGTGATAAGCTTTACTCTTATCATTGCTTCTGGTCAGATTTGCCGCTACACATTTGCATCGATTCCAGAGGAACTTCGTCTCCGAACGATAACGCTCCATAGCGAAAACCGAAACCATTGCGTCGAGGTTGTGACCGTGGTGGCTGAGATCTTCTTCTCTCGAATCCGCAATTTGTCACGCACGATTCGATCTAGACCCTAAACCCTCCATCAACCATGACGGTGCGAGAGTTGTTCTCTAGTTTCTTCATTTTCTTCTAGTTTAATTAAGCCTTTAGATCGGGCAGCAACGACCACTTACACCGGCTACATAGATTAGAGCATGCTCGAGACGATGCGTGCGCATGTTTGTATACGCATATGAACCCTGTCCAGGGCGAAGCAGCTTTCACCGCGGTCCGTTTTTCTGTGGATATGGCGCCTGTAGCGTTGTGGAATATGCCGGCTGGTGGAGCGGAGTTTTTTTCTGCTTGCATTTGATTGGCTCACTCGTCGATTTTGTCAGGCCAGTGTCCCGTTTCGGAGCAGTCATTGCATGCCCAGCTTGTTTATCGATCTCTAGTTTCACCCTCTCGTCCTCGGGGCCTGCTCAATCCTTTTTGGACTCCCAGTTAGTCCAATTCTTGAACATTGCATCTAAAAGCCTGAGTGGCATCCGCTCTAGTCGTAGATCGAACGGTGATGAACTCCCAATAACTCCTTTGCGAGTGTTGGATGCCAGATGTAGCTAGATGTCAATGGGCTCCTGGCCTTCGGTGTTTCACCTAGGCGACGAGGCGGAAGGCGTCGTCTAGGAGTTCATAGGTGTTCGTAGTTCAATGTGTGTAAGTGGCGTTATCGGGATGGAGTGTATTTGAACAGTAAGTTTTTTGCCGACTTCGAGGTCGGATTGCAAGCTAGCTCGTCAAAACCGGCAGTGCTGGACTGAAACGCAAGTCTTTCAATCGATAAACATAGAAGTCGTTCATGTACTTTCATCCGCTCTTTTCTTCTCTACCTTCCATCCCGTGGTTCGCGAGAAGCTGCGAGTACTAGGATTGGCAGTGATGTTTGAATCCTTGGATCCCTAGCTTCTTCCAAGCATGTCCAGATCCAGGGACCGTGAGGAGCAAGTATTTGTGTGTAATCGGATCAATTGTAGACAAAATAAGGAGAGAGGTAATCTATGGCTCCGGACGTTTGAAGATCGCACCGCGTTTGATTGATCACGTGCTGGCGGCTCGAAACGGGTTATAAGCAGCAAGAAGTAGCTTGTATGTGAGTCGCGATCAACAATATATGAGTAGCGAAAGTAACTGAGAAGATGGAAAATTATCCAAATCGGTCCCAACTTCATAGGTTCCACATGTCCAGAACGGAACACGAGGACGCATCGTGGCCTACAAGAAATCACAAGAGCGATAGAAGCACAAGGGAAGGGAAGGGAATCATGTAGAGAGAAATTGCGATCTCGAAGAAATGAGAGGTCCGAGCGGGGTCGATGTCGCCGTACAAAGATGCTTTCGGTACTGACAAAAGACAGTACCGAATCGCTAAGATCAGCCAGTGACTAACCGGTCCCACAACACTCAGGCTTCAATTTGTGTGAGATGACATTTGTCACCAGAATTATTCTTCGTGATTGAGGAAACGGCAACGCATATAGAATAGACTCTGCATTCAAAGTGTGCGATTCACTCACTGAAGTCTATTCTATTCGTTGCAATTTGCTCAATCACAGAGTTTCGCGCTAGGGGAATTTACGATGAATCCCTGGGAGAATGGGAACATGGAAGGCAAATGTGACGAAGTTTGGAAAGTCGATGATTTGTTGGGAGAATGGGAACATTTTTGGTAGCAAATGTGACGAGGTTTGGTGAGTCGATGATTTGTTTCGGCAAGAGCATACACGTGGAGGCAGGTATCTCCCTGACCACAAGCTTGAAGAGTTTTCACAGAGTTTTGCACTTGCTAAATCTAGTAACAATCGCCGGGATAAGTAACTGTAAGTGGAGATCAGGATATTTTGTCGGACAATATACTGCAAGAAACGCCAAGGCAATGGATGGTAATTAGATAAGTTGCTGACACCTCAGAAGAACCAGGAAGTGCTGCCTCTTCTATTCTGCTTGACTTCGCGTACAGCCAGCCACGGTCAGAACCTCCAGGCAGTGGGGTGGGTTTCCGCTTTGGATCGCTCTCTCTTTCGCACTCGAGTTTCCTGTTATGGCGTAAGATTTAACTCTCCACATTTGGATCGCTTTTAAATGTGGGGCGGCTTATATGACGTGCCATGAAACAATGACACGAATACAGTTTATCACAGAACGTAACTAATCAACAACGGTGTACGTATGAAGGGCCCGGCCGTCAGCCCGGAGGCATATGGTCGGGGTGGCTCTAGTCTGCAATTTAACCAGCCAGTAGATTGGTCTTCCATGAGACATTCAAGAAGAAAATGAGCGCACTTGACAGACAGCAGTTTTGTTTTCAAGCAATATTCGTTAAGTGAGGTTACAAATCTGGATTTCTTCCGTCTGTACGGTAAAGGGAATCCTGACAAGCAGCAACAGAAAAGCATGACTTTTTCTGAATAAGGAAACTCATTTGACGTTCTACCTTCTGACCTCAATTTTATATTATACGTCTTCATTCTTGGTTTCGATCATGTGATCAATTCATGCATTTTGGAATAAGGGGTTTAGGGTTTTAGGGTTTAGGGTCCAGTCTGGCAAAATATGTCGCTACGACCAACCCTAGGATTTACAACTAAGAATTTACACAGAGCTTGATGCCCACCCGTCGCTAGACCTTCTCCACATCTGAACAATCGATAGCATACAATCGAACAGATCGATCGGTGGATGGCGTTTCCTGGGCAAGCGCTTCCTCCTTTTCAGCCATTATGAAGGTAACCATGATTTAAGGGTCATACATTGATACGAACATTAAGATGACCACGACATATTTTATTTCTCAACATTTAGAGAAGCACGGGCATTCGTAAGAAGGAGTTAACCATTAGTTGCATTGTAATAGTAAACAATAGCTTTGACATCCTGGCTTCAATCTCATTTACATTCAGGACGCAAATAATGATGACGCCAAATGATAATCATGATGTTTCAGACGTCGCTCCATCTAGCTGCCTACTTGATAACAAGACTGAAAGAGGCAATTTGCTCACCGTCCTTTCGTTCCAACTATTTTTAATCCTATATGACAACTGGCGATGCTTCCTCGCTACTCTCGTTGCTCTTACCAGAGAGAGAACTCGAGTACAGAATGGTATTTCTACATTTTCTATGGAAACTGTCAGTTGCTAACTGCAGTAATTCGAGTATTAGCGGATGAATCAGATATACAACTGGAGCAAGCTCGCGACAGCCGTGTCTTGAATTTTATTAAGTTCAAGATTGCTATTATGTGTCTGTAAACTTGTACCCAAGTATATGACTGATAACTTGACACATCTTCTATCTACGGACCTGAGAACGACCGAGCTGCTTCCAAGTTCCGGTATTGACATATTCTACACTTTGAATGAGAGATTAGTGACAGAGAAGGAGTTGATAGATCGAACGCAGTTGTACTTTTGCATCGGTATTTACCTGTTTATTCTACACTCTAAATGGGAAGGTTAGTGACAGACAAAATATTGAAAAATTAAGCGCAGTTATCCTTCTGTTTTGCTGTTTTACCTGCAACAGCGCACAATAAGAAAATTGTAGTCAAAACACGGAGTATGCCGAATGATGAAATGCACCCAACATTCCTAAATGATGGCAGAAGCTGTCCAGATAAAAATTGGAGAAAGCCACTCACATAATGAATAACATGGTTGTTTGTAGGCATCATCTTCCTCAATAGGAGGCGGTTTAAGTCCATAAATCATATCACAACTCATATCTTCAAAATCTGTTGATTTTCGTGACACAATGCCAAAGTAAGTCAGCCTTTAACAATTGCGAAAGGGTTCTCACAATCCTACCATCACTTCAGTCACAACACGGAAGTCTATCAGTCAAGAGATTTGAAGGCTGAATGCGTACTTGGATTCATCGTCAGCGGCATGCCGAACTGCTTGCCGATGAATTCTTGCGTCGGATTTTTGCAGAGGTTGACGCATAAACCGACACATTGACTATTTTCTAAATACCTGAGAAAATAGCTTAATCAGCGTCAAGATTAGACATGAAAATACTAAAGACTTGTTATGGAGAAAAATATTTGGCAGTAGATCGCCGCATAGAGAATAGGGTGGCTGTCTCAGAAGTACCTGCACTTTTTTATATGTACCGTACTTCTCATCATCACTCCATTCACTTCCGCCTCCCTGATCTACAAATAATGAAACAAAGGGTCAATAATCCTATATGGAACGATCTCCTTAAGGCAGGTTCAGCGTGCATGAATTCAGGTTTTGTATAGAACGAAAATTTCTTACCTCGGTATCACCAATGAGCCATCTAAAAAACAACTTTGTGAAAACCGCGTAGTACTCGTTCAAAAATGTTGCTTTTGGAACAAGTCGGAACTGCGCAGAAGAAAATTCAAGAGAATAAGGGTGCAACTTTCCGGTACCCATTAATCTATCCGCAGTGATAGATAGCTATAGCGAAATCCGATCCAGACTCCGAGAAACTACAACTTACTAACAAGAAGCAGTGCATTCAGCGGTCCTTTATGTACTTCACTTTCAGAAACCGCAGTTTTTACTATTTGTGTTGAATTCGACGCGAGTAGTAGGAAAGACTTTCAAGCTAGTTTAAGAACAAGCCATTTCGACTCCGGGAAAACCTCGAAAACGTACTGTGAAGAGGAGCCAGCTGGGCAAAACCATGTGAAGCAACTTGTGAACTGTATCACGCTGCGAAGAGGCAGGAAGACCATGAACCAATTTCCTGGTCATGTCTACGAAACCATCGTAACCTTCGAGCTCTGTAGTCTTACCTGAGTTCACACGAATGCAATCCAATATTAACCAAAAGTACGTCCCGCCGAGGGACCAACATTCGATTGGCACAATCACTTGTAGACAGTGGACCCAAGAGTGTATGAATACAGGTTGGAGGTCTTTGCCTCACCGCTCTCTCCATTATACAAACAACAAAGTCAAGAAGGAAGAGAGTCACTATCCAGTCGTTACTCGGAAAGATACCCGTCTTCCATGTAGAACATAACTACAGCGACAAAAGACTGCCACAGAGGAACCAAGCCAATCTTGTCACCTTGATACCTAATATGCCCTTTAGCAGTTAATATTCAATTCATTGCATGCAATCACAGTAGTGAAGGTTCAGTCTCAGTGGGCACGAAAATCGGCTCCAGTGCCACGAAAGACTGAACGATTGCGAAATTGTCCCAAATCTGCTAGAATTCGTAATTCAGGTTGGACAAGATCACCAATCTTGTAATAAACAGTTAAACTGTACAGTTAAGTAGGGGAAAATTATATAAAAAAGTGATTCAAGTATGAGCAGAAACGAAAACAGAAACCAACAGTATAGAGAGAAAGACAGTACCCGACAGTCGCTCAAGCCGATTCGTGAGAAACTGGATGGATTTTTTCTCAAGCCAAGAGTCCTCGTACTGAGTAGGTACATTCAAATGTGGCGCAGGTGCAGGAACCAACTCTTCCTGCAATACGCAATATACCTTGCCCCTTCTCACGAATGCATTCCTCGTGTTCTGGGAGCGAACGAGAGGAGAAGGAAGAAATGTTGCTGATCCTAGGCCCTTCACTCCAAGGCCTGAGGTTGACACCAACGGCCCAGAACAAAGAGAATTCATCGTCCTCTGCACAGCTGCCATATTATGGTATGACTGATCTCGTACTGTATTTTTCAGTTTATACTATGTAAATGTTGAATTGATTGGGTTCTCGTCGAGTTGCACAAACCGTCCACTAAAAATGTGTCAGCTCATAATTTAATTTCCAGTCTCCGTGACGGGTTTTTCCGAGAGACAAGACAGAGCAGGAAGTAGGAGCAATTGTCCAAACACTCGAGATTCACCTGCTTTTTCAGCAGAACGCCTTCAGATTATATAGAGGACTCGGAAGCGCTTGCTTCCCGAATCTTGGAACCTGGAAACATGATTCCCTGTAATTCTACAGCTCAAACCGGAACTGTATAATCCTGAAGCTTCAACCGTCATTCTTACTTCCACGGCACCTGCCTCGACAAGGACGATTCTTGAGTCCACGCATTGAATCTCAGATTGGGGCAGTCTTGACTTCGGGAAGTTCACTCGGGCTCCATTTGGAATGAAACACAGCAGCAGCAGCAGCAGTCAAGCGAGCATTCGAATTCAGTGTTCCGGCGTTCTAGCGTTCTGGTCCTGGCATGGCATCCTCTTCCGCAACCATGTCTTCGTCTCTGGTTGCCAACTTGGTGTCGTGGCCAATTCTCCATTCGCGTGGGGCCCAGTTGCCATAGGAACCGGAAAAGATCCCCCTCCTCCACAACTCAGCGTCTGTCCTCCACGGGCTCCCCCAATGGCCACCCGTTTACTTATCTCCCCAACTATTCTAGTAGCCTTCTTGTTGCACGGACGTCGATGGGACCTTGGCGGAGCCTGGAGGCCCCCTGGAGCTGACAGCCGCCTCTCTCCCGAGCTCTTGTGGGCAATCCTCCTCTCAGAACGGCCCTTGTTTCAAGTGCTCCCCGGCTTGCTGGCAGATTTCAAGGGCAGCGCCGAAAGCATTTGCTCGTTGTGCGTCTTCCCAAGAGCGTACGGCAGCGTCCACAACACGCCAAAATCCGACTGTACACAAAGAATGAGTCGCGGGGGGCGGATTTCGCCATGGAATCGAACTCCGTGCTCTTCACATCAAAGAGGAGCACACGGAACTCCGATTCCCTCTCGATGCATGAGAAGCTCGCTCGCCTACCGAAGTCCAGGACGATGACTCTCAATCCGCCAGCCTGACGTGACAAGCGGCCATTTCTTACAATCCTTTTGTTCGTGTGCCGCTTCTCTTGTGAGATTACTTTTGGCTAATTCCAACCACGTGCAAGTCGCGGCGGTCTTCGAGGTTGATAACGGATCGCTGATCGCTCCACCCACAGAACACTCCGCCTCGCCTCGCGCAGACGCAGATGACAAATTCGATGAATCGGCGAGGCGAAGACCATCGCCCACATTGGGCGAGTTGCAATGTTCGGGATGCTGACGAGCCTGACTCTAACTCTAACTCTAACTCACCTCGGCGGTATACGATGGACCGTGCTGGTTCCCCAGATTAGACTGTCACCAATCTGTTGGGCAGGGAAGGCGTCAAACAAAGCAACCATCCACGTCATCGTCGAAGGTGCGCGGACTCGACACCCATCCACGTCATCATCTACGTCCCCGGACACGATTGAACAGGAAGGCAAACGTCTCTATGTTGGAAACGGCCGTACAGGCATGAAGCTTAAATACTGTAGTACACTCCCATCTAAACGTTCGAAAAGCTCCCTGGTAAAATTCTTAGATATGGTCTTTGAAATGATATTACTTCCATCGAATTCAGCGTCACTCATATGCTAGCGTCACTCATATGCTGGCTGGCATACCGCTAATGTTGAATTCGAACCTTGGGCCTCCTCCATTCGTCAGCTGAGTTGAGGACCAAACCTTGTGACGCAAAGATTATCCATTGCTGGAACTAGAGTTTCCTCGCGAGGGTTCGGTTCCAAATACCAAGTTTTGAGCCCAATGAAAGCCCGAGGGTTTTCAAAACCTTTAAAAAGAAAATGGAGAAGGGACAAACCAGAACGAAAGTGGTTGATGTTGTCATAACAGAACTCTTGATAGGGAGATCTTAAAGGGAGATTAGGTTTTAGACAAGACTCTTAAAAAGAGAAACTTTCTAGATTTTTCCGTACGGTACCCATTTATGTGTTATGTACTATGGATTCAACAATTTTGGTTAATATCTACTTTTAGACCAAAGAGGAAATTTTTTTCTCTCATTTTTACGATATAAGACGAAGAAATTCACCCAGAAAGTTTGCTATGGACCAGTTCAAGCTATAAAGAAGTTATCTGAACGGGACAAGGCTGTATGTCAGATATTCATTTATCCTCCAATATGTTACTGGTATATATTCTAAAGATTATCATATGATCAATTCAGACTCCACTAGATCGTTTGTGCATATTATGCTGGCGTAGATTCAGTAGGTATTTCGTTTACGACACATTAACACTCCTTTTTCTATAGCTACTAGGGAATTCTCCCTATTTATCATCATACAATTCCCGTTGCTGCTTATGAATGCACCGTGAGAGTATTTCTCGTTTCCAATATCTTACAACTGACTTTTCTGTTTGTAGAATTGCGATATAATCTTATGCATTAATATAATTGCGATATAATATTATGCAGAATATTATGCATTGCTTGCGGCAGGTTAGTTCGTACTTGTTGAGATAAGTAGTAACTTCTCCCCTTATATCTTCAGAGACTCAGAGCTCACAAAGCAGAAAACACATTCCGACGTAATCTTATGCCCTCTTTACCGGGGTCAATTGAGAATCAACAAAATGCATCAGGTGACTTCTCAATAACAAAAGTCTTATCGTAAGTGTTCAATCATTTCGAACCCGGTTTCTTTTTTAAAATCTTTGACTTCAATTTTAAACAATTTTTACCGGGTTTAGAAAATCAGATCCACACGCAGTCAACACAAAAGATTAACAATCCTCAATTATTTGTCCTATTGCTTGATTATTTTCTCAATATCTCATGAAACATCAACCTCATTCACAAGTCTCGGAAACTGTTTCTTGTTCCCCATTTGTTCATGATCTCTAAGGGTGGGACTACCAACTCTATTGACATCATTATGCTTTTTACGGAGAAAAAATAATTTAATGCGTGACTGTATTCGACTTGTGAAGTCTACATTGATGCTAAAGTGATCAACCTTGCCTTTATCTGGAAAAATGATACACTTTTTTCCATTGTAAATCTAAACATAATTTTTCCAAAGTGGGAGGATACATTTTCAACTATCATATTTTACACCAATTATGGAACATATAATTGGTATCTAAAACTCAAATACATTTTCAAATTTTCATGGTTGAAATTCTTGCCATACTTTCTGTGGTGGGGTGAGAAAATTCATCAAATTGAATATAAGTATTAGACATCTAAACTTATTACTATTCTAGAAGAGCATTTGCATTGGAGGAACTAAAGAAATTGAGAGAGAAGGAGATTTTGTGGTACCTCTCCTCTAAGCAAGAAGAGTATTCATGAGAACAAATTCTTCTTGTTTGAGGACAGGGACGAAAGATGGAGAGTAGTCCGCACCTCCATAAATTTCATCCAAAAAAAATTCACGCCGGGCAATATTGAAGTAAATAATATGTATGCATTGTCCTGTACCCGAAGACCACACTTGATTGACCAAAACACACTAAGTCAGTCGTGTAAAAAAGTCAGAAATCAGATCAACTACCCTTCAGCACTTAACAAGAATCAACGTACCCAATCCTTTTGCCATGGCGGCTCAAATCTCAAAGTGGCAAATTCCTTTTCCAATTGAACTTATTAAATTTAGTTCATGAAGATATTTGAAGCAAGCTTTTTGCCATGTCGGCTCCAATCACAATACATCAACATCGTTCAATTAGCCTCGTGATGATGATGGTGCGACTTTTTAAGATCGAAGATATTGGGATCATTCTGATCGTCAATTAAAAAGATTGTTGTAGAATATTACCGTGTAATTTTAAAAGTGTACTCACTGTAGAGGAGAAACATTCAGGAGAAATTGCTACACGGGAATGGCACAAGATACATTGCGGGTGGGCATAGTATGGATGAGTAAATCTATCACTTTGTATTATAGGATTATGTGGATTAGATCATTTAAAGTAAATGTAATGTTAGCTCCAATAGCAATAGAATAGTATTTTTAATATTGAAAAACGGTATTCCAACTAGGAGATTATTTGCCAAAGAGCACACTCATCATTAGTGCATACCGTTTGCTTCGAGCATGATATCCACTTGTAAGTATTGAGTAAAACACTGAAAGTAAATATGCAAAGGGTATCGTTGAAAAGATCGTAAAGAGTAGCTTTACTCAACTTGGATATTGACTTTTGGGCCTTATTGTGAGAGTAATATCTCCTTCTACACGAGACGTTGGAGTTAAACCTCCCGATAGTGTCACCTCTTGTGAGTGGCATACTCCCATTAGTGACATGAAAATGAAGAACCATTAGTTTCTAACGGGTAATTTTATCCAATAATAACAGTACGTCATTATTGTTAATAGTGTCATTAGATTTTTCAAGAGTGACTATGTCGACCTTTAATAACTATCATAATTACCAAAAGTCTTTGTTCAGAGTTAAAAGTCTACATTCGGAGCTTGTTGATTGGTCTATCCCAAGTCTTCTCAGTGGTTACAATATTCTCAGACCTTGAATCCGTGTCACTGATCAAATGATGTGAGCGAAGAAGTCTACGTCTGTCTCTGCTCACTCGTTGCAATCTGGTTGTGCGATGTTTAAACCCTTGTGGGAAGAGTGCTGGAAGGAAATTGAGACAAATCGAGTGGAAAGAAGAACAGGTCGGTTCTGCCCGTGGGATATTTTCACGCCTTTTCAAGTTGTTCAGGATGGAGCCAAATTCATGAGGAGTAAAACAAGTCGAAAGATTTCAATTTTCATGGGTGGCTCCGGGTTGATTTAGAAAATCCAAAATTTCCAACTTCGTCTTCACGTCCAAACAAAGCTTGCGTTTAGACATGTGTGAATAAAAACGGGTGTAGATTAAGAGAGAAAAAAAACTCACTCCAAACAAGTACAGATTGCGTTGAGAGAGAACGACTACCAAATGCATAACAACTGTGACAGATTGTAGCGAGAGAGAAAGAAACTCCCCCAAGGCACTATTACAAATTTGTTGAGAAAGAAAGAAGCGCCCACCGAACGCAAATAACGCGAAAAAGATTAGATATACTCTTGTGAGTGACACCTCCGAATAGTGACATAAAACCCTATAACGGTTATGTGTCACTATTGGGAAGTTTAACTCTGTAGTATGATTCTGACTTGATAACCGCCCAATCATGAGGAAAAATTTCATTATTTTATTGGGTTGTTCACGCACTGTGTTCACTACAGTATATAGTAGTGTTTGACTCTTCCTTCACTGCAAAGTTTTTCCCTTGCACATTCTTCTCATTTCTATAATCGTCATTATTTTGCCTGTAGATAAACAGTGTATTGTTCACTTTTGATTTTTAAATTAAAATATCATCATTCTGCAAAGTGATACACAGCAAAGAAGATAATAGTTGGAAAACAGTGTAGTGTTGATGAAACTATCACAATGCTGCAAAGTGATTCACTGCAAAGTAGATAATAATTTTGTCCTTCAGTTCGTGAGCTACAGGCTCTGTGTGATTAGTACAGGTTTTATGAGATATTCCCATCAACATTTTGTATTATCTACTTTCCTTCATCTCTTACAATTGAGTCTCGTTAGGGTGTTTCAAGACAGATACATAAATAAATTAACTGTAAACAGAGAACAGTTCTCATAAAGATTACACTCGGCTCCCAACGATCACTTCTCTTCAGAATTCTTCTCACGGTCTCGAAATGGAAGCAATTGCCAATGTCAGCAAGAAAAGGAGTGTGAAACCGAAGCAAAGCTTCGCTTAAAACAATATCGTTCATGAGACCACCCACAAGACAGATGGTATCTCCAAAGGCAGTCGTGACTCCACTTGTAACTCCAAACTGCTCAAGTTTAAATTATTATCCGACTTCAAAACAACTGCTCGAGTGTAATTTAAAATCAAACTTCTATTTTCCCGTATCTTCCCTGTGTCGTCTTCGAACAGGTCTCAGAGCAAAGGCCAATTCAGATTGTCTTCAAAGTGAGCCAGCCACTCCACCAATCCGATTATGTCCCCACTTTCTTCACTGGAGACTACCAACTAATGATTGACATCCAGTAACCTCTCACCGATGGCAACTCCCTGGAGAGCAATTTCCTTCTGCCTTTCAAAAAATCCCAAGGCAGAACCATCTTGTTGTCGTTGCCGAGCTCGATCCGATGAGTGTTCCTACAGAGAGGAAAACACCGCGAGCACTGAGCAAAACCTTGAGACAAAATATGCTCCATCATCCACGCAGACTGCACCGATGGTCAATCGGTGCAATCTGCGTGGACAAATTACGTCCTCATCCCGTAGATCAGACAGTCCAGAAGTCCACAATGACGAATTCGAG